ATCACCTCTTCTCTCACTGTCCTTTTGCTATCGAACTTTGGAAAGCAGTTTTACAACTGAACGATATGACTATTACTCCTCTTACTTGGGAAACTATGGTATCTTGGGCTAGCACAACTTGGAGAGGGAAGTCTCTTATCTCCACCTTATTGAAGATTTCTTGGAACGCTTTTATCTACTTCATCTGGCAGGAAAGGAATCAACGTATTTTCCAGGGTCGGCAAAGATCGATCGATATTTTGCTTAATGACATTATTGAAACTGTTAGTATTAGACTTAGGGGCAAAGCTATTAATAGACTTGATAGAACTAACCAATTGCTTTGTAATGCTTGGGGTATAGTCTAACCAAGCTTTGGTTCTTTTGCATTTAGGTTGCTTTGTCTCTTTGTTGGCTGATTTGTTGTAGTATAACATTGTTATTTTGGGTAATAAATTCTGATTTATCCAAAAAAAAAAAAAATAATCATAGTTGGGACTTTAATGCAATTTGACAGTAAATATTTTTTTATCAACCATTTGGTGCAATTATCAGTTTGATATAAAAATAGAAAATACTAATCGTGAGTTTAGGTTTAACATGATCTCTAATAAGTATCTCCAATGTTTCCTTCTTTTGTATCAGAAAAATCTGTGGAATGCATGGGTAACAACATCAGAACTGCGGCATTCTGTCACCCTCAAGAGAGTTAAGTTGCTATTGTTGAGGCAAAAGTTGAAATTGACTTCCATCCTGAAAAGACAAGTAAGTTTCAAACTTCTAGTTTCTAACAGGAGTAAACTAAACCCATGTATACTTCTTCATAGACACAACTGTTTCATCTGATTATGGTTTTACCTTTGTATTTGTCATATCATGCATGTAATTCATGTTTGTATCCATGAATTTACCAAAGTAGGACTTGACCTTATAATAAGTTTCCTGCAATGGTCAAAGTGGGCTGCCTGGCCTTTAATATTTTGTAGGAGCAGTTGCAATTCAATTACATCATGAAACGAGTAGGTACTCAGTATTTGTAAACATGGAAAAAAAGAAGAAGAAAATCTGATATATTATTCTTGTTTTCCATAGAGAATGGGTCTGTGTCAGATATATATTCGAATCTCATGCACCTTCTAGAGTTGGAGGAAGTCAGAAAGCAAAAAAAGAAAATAAGAAACCTAGTCAAGAAGAGAAATCTTGTTACTGTAATATTTGATTCCCAAAATGAAAACAGCTGCTGCTGGTTCGATAATTTGACTCCTCAGATCATCTGTTGCCCATCCTAACTTCATGCTAGTTAGAACAGGCCTTATCATTTCCATTCTCCATTACAAGATGCTGGCTTTCATAGCATGGATTCTCTTCGTGACATACATTTTTATAATCGGTGAATGTAGATAGCTCATTTAGAAGTGTGGGACCTTCTTGAAAGAGATCACTCTAGCTCTTTGCTAGGAGCAACTGAAGCTTTAAAGGCTAGTACTCTTCGACTTCCAATTGTTGGAAAAGCCACAGTAAGTTTCTTCCCCATTTTTCTTCTACTTTTCAATACGCAATGTGTTAATGATTCAGTTCATGACTATCAGTGTGGTTTAAAATTTTGATCTTGTTCCTCTTTGTCTTTCTGTTTTCTCTTATAATAGGTTGATATCCAAAATCTGAAGGATGCTGTCAGTTCAGCAGTTGAGATGATGCAGGCAATGGCATCTTCGATAAGCTCACTATCATCCAAGGTAAAATTCATTAATTCAATTTTCTGGACATTAGCCTTCCAAAATAAACACCATTTAAGTTATTTTGTGGTATTTGTTCATAATCATTGGGTTCTTTACATGCCAGTTGTAACTTGTAAAGATGTGGTCAGAGCTCTATAGCTAGCTCTTAATTAGCATTAGATATAAAAAGCTGATTATGGCTGCGGAAAATGGAAAGCACTCAACCATAAATAATAGCCGTGAAACTAGATAGACGGTGGAACTGACGAACTGTGGAAGTATTTATGTTACCATCCGTAGTGGGCCTTAAAAGAAGAGATGCGATATTCCAATTCAGTTGCTTTCTTTTATGGGAAAGGGAACTGCTTACTGAAAGATAATGCTGAAAAGAAGGGAAAGTTAATAGAAAAATCCTTTGCGACTGATTGGATTCTTTGCCTTGCTTTTCTTATCTAAAAATCAGATCAGACGTTTTTGTCAACAGGAACTACTATTATTCATTATCAAGAGATACTTGGTAATCTCCATTAAGAAACAGATTCCTTGTGTTCTGAACTTGCACTTTTTTTTTTTTGATAAGAAGGTAGGCCTCTTTAAAAACCCCCTCCATGATTAATGGAGCACAAAGTGCTCCTTAATCTTTGTGCTCTATAATCAGCGGAAGGAGGAAAAGAGTGCCTTAATTCATTAAAAACCGAAAGATACATAATGTATAAAAACAAAACACACCCTTTACAATAATCAACCCAAATCCTAACTAAAGCCTGAACATACACTTTGAAAAGGGCAAATCTACCTTATTATCTTAATATCATTTGTCCCTTGCAGGTGGAGGAAATGAATTCTCTGGTAGCGGAACTTGTGAGCTTGGCTGCAAAGGAAAAGGTTTTGCTTGAACGATGTAAAGAGTTTTTGTCCGCAATAGCAGCCATTCAGGTCAAATATGGTGTTTTGTTTTATATTCCGATCTTTTTTCTGCTTTCATTGCTTTATGCGGCTCATTCTGAATATTTTCAACAGGTGCAGGACTGTAGCTTAAGGTCACATATAATACAAGTAAATCACGTACCCGTGACCAGCAACCTGACCACGCATATGTAGAACTAATCTTATTTGACAACTCACCCTAAACGCTAACATTACACCCGAGCTCATGTTTCTTACAATGGGCGGAGGCAGCACCTGACAAAATCACAGAAGACTGAGTATATCTTAGGTTTGTCTTCTCATTTTAGCTGTTTTAGAACCAGTTGTCTTTTTTCAAGATCACGTGGCTTTTCCCTTCAACTGATTTCTGTATACAAGAACTCCTGATTTCTTTTTGGCTTTGTTCTTCTTTCATTAGGTAAAAGAAAGTATTGTATATATAAATATGTAAGTTCATCCGATGATCGATCATCATGTATTTCTCAACCTACATTGATTGATTATCTTAGCATGATCTTGTTGATGCTTGTTAAATCATACACCATCTTTTCCCATTTCTCCTTATTCATTGAACTGCATCCACATTGATATTGTGTTGATAGTGTAATATAGAACCGAGTGCAGGAAAACGAACCAAGTTTCCTTCTCGAACTGAGTAAGCCTTGTTGATCAAACAACTACGTCCCGGAATTTCATTTTGGTCGTTTGGGGTGAGATGATCAATGTTTGAAACGTAAGGAGCATTCAAGCGTCATCTTGAGTAAACAACAAGAGGGATCCACCATTTTCCTTTTGATTTTGTCAAGAATGCCAATCGGTGCAGGGCCATTCGCCATTTAATTTTTCGTTAAGAAAGCGAAAAGGTGTTCGGATCCATGACCATTGCTTTTAACTTTCTTCTTTGGCTTGGCAAAATAAGATACCAAAGACACCTAGGAAAGTACAAAGTAAAGGTCATTGCTTTTAATTTGACATAGTTTAACCCCTTTAATTTATAATGCCATTGGTTAATCCAAATAGATAACAATGTTTATTATTCTGATTAAAGTACAGACGAAAAGTTCTCTTAGAAACATTCCTTTCATAAACTTAGATTTGGCATTACTTTTGAAAATGTTGGTTTATTCACTTGTTTGACATTGCTTTTAGAGAAAAAGTGGTCAAAAAGTGTCCCCCCCCCTCGCTGAAGCATTGAGATATTGAATGTTATGAACCATTATACTTGGTCCAAAATAATTCATACAGAGTTGGATTGAAAGGGGCGGATGGGGATAGTTGTCCTATTGAAATTTTAAAATTATCATATATTTTAGATTTTTTTCTATGTAATTTCTATTAAAAATATGTTTTCGACACTTGAAATTTTATAAGTTTGTTCATTCCTAAAATTTTAGAAATTCGTCCCTTAACATAAAAATTTACGTTCGTCTCTAGATACATGTGTGACATTGTAACTACTCTTAGCTAAGATTAATCTCTCTCATCTATTTATCCATTGATCATCTCAGATTATTTTTTATTTTTTATTTGTAATCTAAGGAGAGTCTTATATGATTGGAACGCATCGCATCATCTATAGTTTAACTCGGAAGAAGTCACATGCTCGACATTTATTCTCAAGCATCCAACAAGGTCCACATCCTCATGGCATGGTGGAACCTAATACGGTGTCCACAAATAAATATTGCTTCTCATGTGCCAGAAGCCGAAGACATTGCTTGATAGTATACTACTACTTGGTAGGATCACTGGTAGGTCAATACTCGATCGCCCCACTCTAGGTTAATCCCACGCATGGCATGGACACTCAGGCATCATGCTCATGCCTCAAGGCATATTCTAGTGCACTGTTCCAGCTTCGACTCACCTGCTCAATAGGGTATCCAAGACTATAGTAGTTCATGCGTCTATTAGTTGTCGATGCCCTACATTAATACCATCTCATGATTACGACAGCATTATTTTGAAAGATCCACAACTCGACCACACGAATGATATGGTGTCCTTTAACCGAGTCATCCTTGATTTTCATCTTGAGGAGACATCGTACCATCTACTCAGTGGGATATTGTGTCATCCTTTGCTCCACAATAAGATAGTCATGTCGGCATCAAGGCATAACGATGTCAAGCCATGACACGAAGCCTTTAATTATCAACTTATTAATATGTAGCAAATGTTGTACTTTCCCAGTTAAAATATAAGCAACATGCATGAATGACTGCCTGCTCTTTTATGTGTATTCAAGATGCATCCCACAACTTCATTATACAGTAACCATTTGTTCCTTACAGCACCGTAAAGTTTCAGCAAAGTTTGGTTCATGACTATACATGCTTTCATTTTTGCTAAATTAACATGAAACTAGTTCTTGAATTTAGTAACAGCCCAGAAAAACCCACCAAAAAGCCAGCTACTATGATTTCCTTACATTTCTACTTTAAGAAACTGAATGCCTTCTATTTCTTGATGTTGTTGATTTCGCTTCTTCAAGATTGGCCGAGCCGAGACTCTCCGATGAATCCGAACCACTGTTTTCACCTTTGCTTGACCATATCTTTGAAAATATCCTCTTGGACTTAAGTAAAACCTTCATTCTACTAATGACAGCTTTGTCGACGCTATTTCTGCTATCTCCCCCATTTCTTTCACCCCTTCCTATCCCGCTGCCCATCCTCAAGGCAGCTATTTCCCCTTTCAGGGCCTTGAGTTCCTCGGCTGTGGCCACTGCATCCCAATCTTCCTCCGGGTTGGTTGCTGCTGACCTTGAGCTCCCATGAGATCCGATATTTAGATCCTTCAGGCCTCTAGGTAAGTCGGGAGTGCTGCTTCCTGATGAAGCAGTAGCTCTCACCTGCTCAAAGAACAGAACCTGCACAACTACACGCATCGGGAGCCTCTCGTTTTGCACGGCGTGCATACATGCATCAACTGACAGTTTCTTGCAGTCCATTAGCTTGCATATTCTTCTCCTCTCACTCTTGCTGATCCCTGGGTGTTCCTACATTTAAGCCAAGTAGAGTTAAAACGTTTATTCAAGTATAATGTAATTACAATTTGATGAACATCTAAAGAATAGACTTCATCAATATTCTCACCTTGAGATACATGTCAATGGCTCGGTAAATCCCATCGTGAGCAGGCCGAGAGATGCAAGACACCATTTCAGCAAGGTCTACAAACTTTGACAAGGGTAACTTGGGATCCTTTGCGATTTCAGTAAGGTATGCATCTATCAATTTTGCCACTATCAACGTGGAAGCATCGGTTAAAATTCCAGGTCTTCGTATTTCCTGGACCTCATTTTCTTCCGAGAGTTCAGCATTCTGATCTTGCATCAGAAACTCTCTCACTATTTTCTGTACCGTAACAACATCATACATTACATCTTCCTCTTCACCTGCTCGTATCAAAAGATCATTTACAGAAGCCTCCTCCAATTGCTGTCCTATTTGCCTCAGTAGCTGTTCCTGAGCCATTTCTCCCGAGTCAGCAACAATGGCTGCTTTCAATAACTTCAGCAAGAAACTGCAAGATACACTTCCTTTCTCTGCAGGCAACAACCAAACAATTGTATCAACTGTTGATCTATACTTAAAGACGTCCCCTGAATGGATCCCGCCCTTACTGAAACCGGGCAACCTTCTGTAAGAATACGCTTTCAAAGCTTCTCCGATCACTTCGTGAGACAGTATTCCTTTTAGTTTAATATTCATTATGACACGCTTATACAGATCTATTTCAAGTTCACACAAATCCTCGACCCACCAGTCCTTTGGCACAGGTCGGCTTCTGAAACCATTAGAGTTCGGATCGTTCCCATTTTCCTCAGGGAGCTTCCTCCGGTTATAAGTGTAGGACCAATCGACCTTGGAAACATCAATGCAAGCCTTAGTAGCTATAGCATCAATGCAAAGGCTGACCACCTTCAAGTCCTCGGATAATGGTAACATAGATTTTGTGGCCTGAAGAACAATGATAGAATCCTTCCAGCTGTGGAAGATGCTGGAGTTGAGGAAGACATCGATCTTATAAATTAGGTTCCCTTTTTCAATGGTCTCATGCATTCCTAAGTACTCAGCTGCACATCGAGAAGCGACAACATTGTAAGGATTAAGGATGACAGTCATGCCGTAACAAAATTTGGCACATATCTCGAAGGCAGCTGGACCTCCGGGAATGTAAAAAATCCGAACAACATTGTTTTCCTCATTACCACTTGCAACCAACTTTTGCAAGCATGCACTTTTTGACAGAAGAGGAAACTGCATATATATTCATAAAGGTATAAGTTTGGATTTCATGTAAGGAATATTGTAATGCATTCTAGCAAGGACATTATGCTCAACGATGATGCTTGACCATAAATGGAAATTTACGTAAACAGGAAGAAAATGCATACCTTGTGCAGGTGAAACATAACATCCCCTACAATGACAGTTACGTCGGTTGCCAGCTCGCTTGCCACGTACCTGGCGTGGAGATTAAGTTTTAAAACATCGGAACTTAAATAAATGTTCACAGGCCAGACAGACAAAAAATGAACTCCACTATACTTGGATTTTCTCATTTATAATACCCAAAAATCATTTAAATTCGCCCAACACAGTGACCTACACCAGAAATCAAACACCAGTCTGTGGTATATCTATCTAATTTACATTCGCATTAAGCTGCAAAACGAATACATGTGATGTCCGTAGTGCTCTGATGTATAGGCTACAAAGTGACGATTTACGAGATGAATTTAACACATCGAAGATATTTATAAGCCTAGAGCTGTAGAACATGAAACAAATACTTTATGGAAGTAGTATACAATAATAAAATTGACATCAATACATTATCACATCTGAATAGTACATGGAGAAATAGAATTCAGATTTAATCATGGCAAGATTAGTGTCCTAAGAAGGGGCAGTCCCATCAAATTTTAACCGGATATTGTTATGATTAATTTATTTTTGAACCTCATCCAGCATTTCTGAGTATGCTATCGCTTTAACAAATTCAGGGTAGAACACATTACTGTATCCGACTAGAAAGAATATGATTATAATGAACCGAAAGTGGAAGATTCTTTGTATCTTCATAAGCAGAAGTTAAACTACCTATTATTGGATCTCAAGGATCATGAATTTGGATTCATAACGCACAATCAGAGTTAGTATGACCCGAATATGCTGAAGGCCATAAAGTATAACATAAACAGGAACCATAGAGGATTTAATTGAAAATGGAAGATCAAAGGTCAAAACCAAAGAAGAATAGCCAGATTTCCAAGGATATCCACCACTTCGGATAGAAAACACTTGAATGATGAGATGATATGATAGGGGATTTGCATTTTTTTTCTAATAGCGCCCCAAACCGAAACAAAAATTCTAAGCAGGAAAGTATGGCGGCGCTAAGAGGAGCATAACAAACCAATGGCCTACAAAAGCCGCGAATCACACATCAAACACTCTACAGCATCTAGAAAAGGACAAAAATTTCACTATAGTCCCAAGAAGACTCCTAATTTAAGCATAGACCAAAGAGGCAAAGTTACCTCAATTGTCGGATTTCCGAGTATGCAGTTGAAAAGAACAACAATAATTGACTAAGGCAAGGGATTATCACTTAATGGTCTTATGCAAGAGTCAATGGATTGAACAACATAGTGGACATAATTTTTAGTTTTAGTTTTTTTTTTTCATTTTCAATTATTAAGGGAGAAAAAACACAAATGATAAATTGCAAATAAGGGTCCAAGAGATCTTACCTCACATTGTTCCCATCGCTCTGAAAGGTATCTGGCTTCGATCCAAGCTTCATAAACTTCATATTGACAAACAAAAGAACCCTTCCCCTCTCTTAAACCTCAAAAACAATATTCCTAGCTACTCGATCGGATTGCAAGTAAATCAAATACCACACACTCAGCTACTCACATAACCAATGAAACATAACACCGACTCAAGGAAAAACTTGCCAGAAGCAGTAACCAATACCCCAACTGTGGGGACCAAGCTTTCCGAATTCAATCAGCTTTCGGTGACTCTACAGACTAAAGGCAGATCCAGAGAAAGGGAAGGATATATGCTACGAAAGAGAAAGACCAATCTTGACAGCGATCTGAATAAGAGAGAGAAATAGAAAACTGGAGAAATGGTGGTGGGATTTTGAGTAATAATTTAAAAAAAAGGTTCTCTTGAAAGGCAAGAGAGCCAAGGAAGATTTGTTTCTTTTGTTGACGGCAAAGCCCACCGAGTCCGGGAGCACTCGGTCAGCTCAGGAGACATAAACAACAGACTCTTTACACTAAAATAATTCCCAAAACTACAGACTATCACAAGCACCAATCTGCTTCACCTCCACTCCCCCCTATTTCTTTATTTCTCACTGGTTCCTCTGTTCCTCTGTTTCCCCCTTTTCTAAAATGATATATAAGAGATTCATATCACCAGGCCCCTTAAAGCTTCACGTTCCAAAATTGACGTATACTAATATCCTGCAATGGAAAACAGCATCTTGGTATCAGTTGAAGAAACCACCAAAACGGTAGACAACAAGCATCTACCTTTATTATTATTATTATAATTCTTTCAGAGTATGGGAATCAATGAAAAAGGATAACAAAAATTATAAAAAGGTGTTATAGTAATGAACCATCAAATATCAACTACCAACAACAACAATAAATATCAATTCACAAATTGGAACTGAAATCTGAGGAATCTACCAGAACATATCACGGAAATCTAATTAAATAACCAAAATTCCAACACTCGGTATCAGATTATTTATTTTTTCTGTTAGAAAAAAAATCTGAAACACCCCACCACCGCCACAGGAATGGGAAATTACCAAGGAATTTACACAACCATTGCAAGGAACTTGTGTCAAATACAGGAAGTAATGAAATTTACACACGAAACCCATAAACTGTAGAAGGAACAACATTCAAACAAGATTCAGTTTTGAAGAAAAAAGCCAAAGAAGTTGGCAGATTTACACACGAACCGAAAAAAACTTTAACTTCAGGTATTTTCTCTTTATCAATATGGGTGAAGAAAGTAGCTTAGTTTCACTGGGTTTTTGGGAGAAAGAGCAAGCATTAACACACTCAACATGTAAGCTCAGTAAAGCACGCCAAAAGGCTGACACTCGGCTTTCTTGTTGCCTTGCCAGGCTTCCATTCAAATCAGATCATGATTTTTCCGAGCAAAATCAACAAAGAAGGCAGCATGGCTCAATATAAAATTGGACTTAGAACATTTTCATATTACCCAGTTGAACACTTCCCTACAAAAGTAAAAGCTTTGGAGAGGTATCTGTGTGAAAATCCCACACATGTTGCTGACTGTATCACACTGCATATAATAAATATAAACCCTAGAGCTAGATCGTCTCGTATATTAAAAATATTTGGGTTTAAGACTTTCTTAACAAGCACTTGATTCCTTGTCTTCTTTTTAATTTAACCAATCTTCATAGGCATAATTTTTACCAAAAGTCATTTATGTGGTTGGGTAGGATTCCGATGAGAAGATCTGCCTAATTTTTAACATCAAAGGGTTAATTCAACCTGACATCTTCAAACTATCGTTCGAATTTTAAATTAGTCCTTAAATTATGAAATTGTTTGATTGAAGTTAGTATTATATCAATTAGATCACTCCATTGATCTAAAGAAATCTTGGCATTAAATTTCATATTGGATCTAACATGATGCATATTTAGAACAAATGTATGGTTATTGTATGAAGAGTTTGGATATGACACGATTTAAAAATATGCATATTTTTTCACATGTCTTATATATGATAGTAATTTGATTCGAATTTGATAAATTTGTATTCAATTCAATAGGCTTAATTTTAAAAAAAATCAATTTGGGACAAATAGGTTTTTATAAAGGATGAAATCGATTCGGTTCAAATTTAAGGTGAAAAATCTTTTAGCATAGTATATAAATATATATATATATATATTCAATTAGGTCTCGAAGTTACCAAATAAAAGAATTTTATATATATTTGTATCAAGTGGAATTAGATCATATGCAGATTTTTATCACTAAATTCGGGTAGGATTTCGGATTGGATGAGATCTCATTGAATTCTGGTCAGATTCGAGTGAAAGGGATATGCTTATCGGGTCGGGTTAAATCAACTAAAATTTTTATTCAATCTAACCTCTTACCATCCCTGATCTCAAATCCAAATCGTCTAGGTAATGAATACAATTTTTGTTAAAAAAATAACCTTTATATTTTAAATATATTTCACGTTAAAATTGAAGTAATATTTTTCATTTAAATTGATAAAAAATTTATAAAAAATTTAATTCTTTGAACATGAATTACCTAGAAGGGAATAAAATTGTGTAGCAAATGAGCATATGTAGAAAAATAGGTCCCAAATCTCTCTAACTTTGACCACCACATGCTTTTACAAATTTGATTGATTTGTTTGCCCACATTGGCCAAACCCCACAAAAATTTGACCCAAATCTATTTATCTTTTGGTTATGATTATTGGATTAGTGAAAATAGATTGATGAAATTATTTTTTTCAATGAATATCTTTTTATTCATAGTTTGCCCACATTTAGTTTCTTTTTTTCCATGTCATATTATCCACCTACACAATGCAAAACTCTTTTAGTTTTATACAGATTTAGAATCGTTATATGAGTGAAAATATATGACTGAAATTAACTCTTTTTTTTTTCATTTAATATATTCTCGTTTCCTATTATTAATCTGAGCTGTCTATTTTCACTCATCCAACGGTTCCTAAATCTATGTAAAACTAAAAGAGTTTTACATTGTGTAATAGGATCATATATATATATATATATATATATATAACTCGTTTGTCAAAATTTGAACATAAAATAAAGATAAAATCCCAAAAGGTTTGTCATTGGAGCAAGAGGATGAATGCGAGCCTATTATGTGTTAAAAATCTTACATAAAAGGATCTTATGGGGGACAAAGGGAAATACAAAACATATACATTATGATCTAAAGCTACGACTAATACAACTCATTAATTAGTGTACTATACGTTAAGGGAAAATAATATTAGTAAAAGGGATTACTTGGTCCACGACTAACGCAAATGCACATCACATGCATGCCTTAAAACTTTACAATCCAATTTGCTTAATCATGCCAACCATTTCTGGTTTTTTGTTTCCATGCATCATGCCATACGGCACATGCATAGATCCATCCATCATTGACTTGTTTATATATATATATTTTAAAAAATATACTATGTTTGTTTGATTAACTATTGGGTACGATGTCAAAAAAAGGTATTGTATTGTAACTAGTTTAGTCACATTTAAACTATCTTTTCGTTTTCTCTTTTTGTTGCTTTTTCATGGTTCCGTGTGGAATTGGAAATTGGATGATAATGTCACGGGTTATTGTACATTACACTTATGTGTCTAAAGATATGTTCGATATGTTAGAGATCAGATGATAAAATCACATATTATTTCTATTTTTTATTTATATATTTACTTTAAAATATGTTTGATAGAGTATGCAATAATAGATGTTATTCGTTATGCGTTTTATATTTGTACAAATGGATAGTCGCACTTATAATTATCGCAATTGCTGTTCGATCTATCTATTTCGTTTGTTGGGAAGCTAAACTGTATATCAAACAATTGATTATTATTATTTATTTAATATTTTATTAATTTTTTTTAAAATACATGTTTAATAGAATATGTATGCTAAAATTAAAATAAATTCATGGTTTGAATCCTAACGTTTGCGAATAAAGCAAACTGGGTTGAAAGGGTCGTCATTACTTCTGCAGTACCCGATCTGGACTAGTTGGTCAATAGATCGAATATCAGTGATTAATTAAAAAAAAAGTGAAAAACTCGTTCAATCTTTTTGTATATGTGATATTTATTTATCAGACTAATAATGTTGTTTTTAATTCAATATAAAAAATTAAGAAATTATTATATATCTCATTTGTTTGTTTTTTAAAGAATACCAAACAAAAATAAATAATAATTCTTTAATCCTGCTTGTGAAATTAACAAGTTCAATTATTTAATATATTAAATAATAATTCATAATAAGATGATGACAAACATTTTTAAAGTATTTATGAAATAATATTTTTTTATTAAGATATAAACCCAACACAATATAAACAAGCATGGAATTTAAGATCCTATGTCTGCGTTTAAGTATTTGTAATACTTAGGAGGTGTTTGGTTCAAGGATTGTCCCATATTTTCATGTTTGGTTGGTCGGGAATCTCATTCCAGGTAATATTTTATTACCAATAGTAGATTTTTTGGGATATATTACCGGGAATGTCATTACCTCCATTCTCTTAGGTATTGTAACATTATCTGCGTTTGGACTAAAATGCTTAAATTTTTATTTTTTTTCAAAAATATCCTTCTTCTTCTGTCATTGAATAATAAAAATTCTATGAAGGTTAAATTACAAATTTATCCTTAAATTATTTTAGATTTACAAAAAAAGTCTATAATTAAAATTTTATATGAAGTTCAAGGGTTAAAAAAATTTACCCTTTCATTAAACCTTTTTTATATTTTTAATTTTGTAAAAAAAATTATATAAATATTATGAATTTAATTTTTTTAAAGAAAATATATAAATATTTTACAATTTGTAATATTATACAAATATATAATAAGGACAATTTGGTTAAATATGCATTCCAATAATATTTTATTCCTTTAACCAAACACGGTAATCTTACATTCCTGATAAACCAACCAAACACAAAATACAATATTCTCAGTAATCCTATTCCCTAGTAATCTTTTATTCTCACTGGTAATCTTATATTCCGTGAACCAAACGCACCCTTATAGTATTCGACATTATTATGAA